AAGAGACAGGCTGATAAAAAGCACTGTCTCATTGCAGACTTACCTTATCAGTCCTGATCAGCTGTCCTGCTTTGACAGGTATTATCATGTACACTTACTGGCATTTCCTCATTAATCTTTTTTTGAAGATCCTTGTGCTTTTGAACAGGATCATACACCGATCAGGCATAGTGTTATGACCACCTCCTTGTTTCTACGCTCGTTGTCCATTTTATCAGCTCCACTTACTATATAGGTGCACTTTGTGTTCTACAAGTACAGACTGTAGTCCATCTGTTTCTCTGCATACTTTGTTAGCCCCCTTTTATCCTGTTCTTCAGTGGTCAGGACCCCCGTAGATCCTCACAGAGCAGGTACTGTTTGGGTGGTGGATCATTCTCAGCACTGGAGTAACACTGATGTGGTGGTGGTGTGTTAGTGTATGTTGCGCTGGTCTGAGTGGATCAGACACAGCAGTGCTGCTGGCATTTTTAAACACTGTGTCCACTCACTGTCCACGCTATTAGACACTCTTATCTTGTCAGTCAATTTTGTAGACGTAAAGTCAGACGACAGCTCATCTGCACATTTTGTGTTGGTCATCCCCAACATCTATGGGGGTCCTGACCACTGAAGAACAGGATGAAAGGGGGCTAACAAAGTATGCAGAGAAACAGATGGACTACAGTCTATAATTGTAGAACTACAAAGTGCACCTATATAGTAAGTGGAGCTGATAAAATGGACAATGAGCGTAGAAACAAGGAGGTGGTCATAATGTTATGCCTGATCGGTGTATAAACAGGTATTTGGGAGAGTGAAGGCTATGACTGTTAGGAACCATGAATGAGGCTATACATTGAAACTGTACCTGCATGTCTAGGCATTATTTTGATCACTTGGTGATTTATTTGTTTAGTTGTTGCCTGAAGGAACTAAGGAATGTACTTGACTGAAGGAAATGGTGACGAAGGTGGAGTCATTCATCGTAATTTTCTCACTCATGTTTGAACATGAAATATGCACATCAAAAGTGAGTCGAAAGTGATTGCACAGATTAACGTTGTGTGGGTAAAAAAAAGACAGAAATGTTACTTAAGTGAAATGTTATCATAGAGCAGGATAATAATAAGGGAAAATGGATTTACTTGTTTGTTTTGAATACTTTGTAATGTAACTTTCTTCAGTTTTTGAAAATTTTTCAGTGGTTTGGTTTGACATATAAAATAGAAATGCATTTAACATATAAAATAAAAAAGACTTGATGGTAAAGGCAAATATTGAATATAATCACCTAAACTAATATGGCAATTAAATAAAATGTGATCAAATATGCTGGACACGTGTTTGCCAGATGTAATATAAATACGAATAGAATAAAGTTATATGACCGCTCAGGCTTTCCATTTTTTTGCCTGGCTGTAGCTGTGAAACATCACAGAAGGTGTCAATTACATGTTGGTGTATGTTGTGCTGATACAAATGGATCAGACACAGCAGTGCTGTTGGAGTTTTTGTACACCTCAGTGTCACTGCTGGACTGAGAATGACCAGAAGTATCCAGCCTAGTATACGCCTAAACAGATGAGCTGTTGTCACCAACAAGGTAACTAGGTGTGTCTAATAGAGTGGGCTGTGAGTGGACACAGTGATTAAAAACACCAGCACTGCTGCTGTATCTGATACACTCATAGCAGCGCAACACACACTAACATGCCACCACCACGTCAGTGTTACTGCAGTGCTGAGAATTGTGACCCAAATAATACCCGGTCTGTAGTGGTCCAGATGGATACTGTCTATAATTGTAGAACTACAAAGTGTTCCTGTATGGTGGAGCTGATAAAATGTATGTTAAGTGTAGAAGGAGGTGTACATAATGAAGTGGCTGGTCTGTGTGTGGGTGTATGTGGTGATATGACCTCAGGAAAAGTATGAAAATGTGTCATTATTATTACAATGTTTATTTATTTGAAAAAAAGTAAGTCATAAGTCAAGTTAAAGTACAAAGGTTTCTACGAGTATATATATAAAATGCCCATAGATCTAGAAAATATATATATATATATATTATATATATATATATATATATATATATATATATATATATATATTAGGGGTGCAGGAAAAAATCGATTCTTAGATGCATCGCGATGCGGACATGAACGATTCTGAATCGACACACACTCACAAATGTCAAAAATCGATTTTCTAAATATTTAATTTATACCGTAATGTTGAGGGAACGCAAAAGGCGGAACTTAGAAGTGCGGAAGTTTAGCGCCTGGACAGTCCATGGCGGCACATAACAAAAACACAAATGGATGAGTGAGAAATCCGACCGGCTCCCTCTGCATTAAAGCCAGGTTAGATCAGGAGTCACAACCCAAATAAGAAGAGCCATTTTGACCTTTTAACAAAAATCAAACCACCTTAGGAGCCGCAACGTTTAATGTCCAGTATGTCTCAGTATGTGATCATAGTATAGTATAGGCTAAACAATATAAACGAAAACACAGATTTACTTCGCTCTGCTTTAAGCTTTTAAGGTTCCTCCCATCTCCGCCAGAAAACCTTTCTTCAGAAGTAGATCAGTTAAATGTCTCTCAATGTTCGACTGTTTTACGAGGCTGAAGTCGCTTCTCATTCTCCAGCTTCTTGTTCGAATTTACCCGTTCCACCTTAAATTCTAACTGAGGCGCCGACTGTAAATGTGGCACTATTTAAGGTGGAACGGGAGAATTCGAAAGAGAAGCGACTTCAGCTTCGCCACTTTTTAGTGTTTGACAGTCTCTCGTTGCAGATTTAACGTACCAGGGAACCAACTGCGCTGCTTATAAATGCGAATAACGCATTGCTGCTATGTGACCTGCAGTGCTGCACACGTCACGTCTCAAAGATACTTTACTGACACAGCGACCCCCCCCTCTCTCTACAACGAGACCAAAACTGAGGTTATAAAATCACTAAAGAAAACGGGTAGAATAGCTGTAACATGTGCTGCATGGACATCCACTGCCACTGGATCTTATTTCACTGCAACTGCGCATTTTATCGCAGATGAGTAGCAGCAGCTTCTCGTGCTCCAAACAAGAGCCTTCTAGTTCACTTGCCACATCACTTCCATTTGTTTTATTAAAAAAGTTATTGGAAGTAAATTCATTATGGATCATGACAAATACTTTGCTTTAAAAGTACCAAGTCACTTTAAATGACAATAACACAGAGTCACTTAGTCACTTTAACATGTATGTCTCTGTGTATATTCTGTGTATATTTAATATATTTCAATTGGTTTTTCTTGTATTTTTATTTTTACTTATTTACTTTCTGTAGAGTGATTAGCTGAGCCTCACCACAAGCATTTCAATGCATAAATGTGCTGACATGTTGTGCAAATGACAAATAAACTTGAAACTTGAACTCGAAACTTGAGCTCACACAGTGAGAAAATATAAATGCTATATAGAAAAAAAAAGATGCATCGAGATGCATTGATAATCGTTTTATAATCGCATCGCAGCCCTCTGAATCATAATCAAATCGAATCGTGAGGTGCCTAGAGATTCCCATGATGCCTGATTATTGCCACACCTGTTCTCAATCAAGAAATCACTTAAACAGGACCTGACAAAGTGAAGTAGACCAAAAGATCCTCAAAAGCTAGACATCATGCTTGTATCCAAAGAAATTCAGGAACAAATGAAAAACAAATTAACTGAGATCTATCAGTCTGGAAAAGGTCATAAAGCCATTTCTAAAGCTTTGGGACTCCAGCGAACCACAGTGAGAGCCATTATCCACAAATGGCAAAAACATGGAACAGTGGTGAACCTTCCCAGGAGTGGCCGGCCGACCAAAATTACCCCAAGAGCACAGCGACGACTCAACCAAGAAGTCACAAAAGACCCCACAACAACATCCAAAGAACTGCAGGCCTCACTTGCCTCAGTTAAGGTCAGTGTTCATGACTCCACCATAAGAAAGAGACTAGGCAAAAATAGCCTGCATGGCAGAGTTCCAAGACGAAAACCACGGGTGAGCAAAAAGAACATAAAGGCTTGTTTCAGTTTTACCAGAAAACATCTTGATGATCCCCAAGACTTTTGGGAGAATACTCTGTGGACTGACAAGACAAAAGTTAAACTTTTTGGAAGGTGTATGTCCCATTACATCTGGCGTAGAAGTGACACAGCATTTTAGAAAAGGAACATCATACCAACAGTAAAATATGGTGGTGGTAGTGTGATGGTCTGGGACTGTTTTGCTAATTCAGGTCCTGGAAGACTTGCCGTGGTAAATGGAACCATGAATTCTGCTGTCTACCAAAAAATCCTGAAGGAGAATGTCCGGCCATCTGTTCGTGACCTCAAGCTGAAGCACACTTGGGTTCTGCAGCAGGACAATGATCCAAAACACACCAGCAAGCCCACCTCTGAATGGCTTAAGAAAAACAAAATGAAGACTTTGGAGTGGCCTAGTCAAAGTCCTGACCTGAATCTGATTGAGATGCTGTGGCATGACCTTAAAAAGGTGGTTCATGCTTGGAAACCCTCCAATGTGGCTGAATTACAACAATTCTGCAAAGATGAGTGGCCAAAATTCCTCCACAGTGCTGTAAAAGACTCATTGCCAGTTATTGCAAACGCTTGATTGCAGTTGTTGCTGCTGAGGGTGGCCCAACCAGTTATTAGGTTTAGGGGGCAATCACTTTTTCACACAGGGCTCTGTAGGTTGGGATTTCTTTTTCCCTTAATAATAAAGACCTTCATTTATAAACTGCATTTTGTGTTTACTTGTGTTATCTTTGTCTAATATTTAAATTTGTTTGGTGATCTGAAACATTTAAGTGTGACAAACATGCAAAAGAATAAGAAATCAGGAAGGGGCAAACACTTTTTCACACCACTGTGTGTAATATATACACATTTTTTTAAGTAGTTTCAAGAAAAGAACATCCACTATAGAAAGTTTAATAACAGAGGAATTTTACCAGACTGTGTCTTACTTTCTCTTGTCAGTGTGAAGAGCACAGAACCTTCTTTTACATCCACCACTGGAAAAGGCCACAATGAGTGCCAGATCAGCAATCAACAAAGAGATCTTCACACCACATGATGAGAGGATGCTGGCAGCTGTGCAGGTGAAGAGGAGGACGAAGAAGAAGATTCCCTTCCTGGCTACAGGTGGACAGGGCGACTACACCACTTTCATCTGCCTGTCAGGTAACTTGCGACTCATCTCAGTGCTGCTGCGGCATTGTGTAGCTCAAACACCACGCCTAATTAAACAAAATGCTGAAATGTAATGCAGCACTGCAGGCCGGAGTAGAGGGGAGATGACACAGGGTTAACATGGATATTTTAAACAGATTCCAGAAGAACATGCTTTTAGTCATGTTGTCATACTCCCATCGCAACATCATCTGCAATTTTTTCATTGTACATGTTTTTTGATCACCGAGTTACGCATATAAGTATGTACAGAAATTACACCAATATTATTTGAATCACCCTCTTGGTGGCTACATCATACACCATTTTAAAGCATGTAAGCAACTCACAACTCGTAACGAGTGAATGTAATACAGTGCATTCTCCCAGTATAAGTGAATCTTGTTTATAATAGAAGCTCTATCTGAAAGTTTCATGTTGTTACATCATGATAAATGTGGCCTAGTAGTCCTTGTCTATAAATAGTGTTAGCACGTACAGTTGAAGCCTACTTTCCACTTGTACGTCTATTCAGTTCTGCCCCAGTCTGTTTTTTTTTTTATTTTTTTATTGTCTTTTGAATGCTACTTGAAAAGTGTGACCGAAGCAGTAGCCAGTTTGAGCAGAAACAGTACAGCTTTTCTTGTGGGGAGTGTGTGGAGGCTGAGCTATGGTGCACTGCTTATAATGATTAACATTTTGTTCCATCTTATCAGCTCTCTATTGAGTAACGGGCAGGAAAATCCGCTCACTTTTCAGAAAATGCCAGCCTCAATTCTCCATTTAATTCCCTGGGTGATTGTTGTTTCAGTGCCAGTGTAATGCTGCAGCTGTTTACTATAGCTTGGTGGCGAACATTTTAAGCAGATTAACTAAAGTCAAATAATTATGGTGGTAAAATTAGGTTTCATGCTGTTTGTGAAATCTATCCTTAACTAATGTTATAAACGGGAGTCTAATTGAATTGAAGATGCATATTAATTGATGGTTACCTAGTGGGAGAAGGACAGTGTTGCGAAGTGGAGGTCACAGAACAATTCATTAGCTAGAAGGATGGATGTTAATAAGAAATCTTTGACAAATGTGCACCATATTTAATGAGATAAAGTCAAGGTTAATGCTTCAAAGTGTCTGTAATCACAGCAGCATGTGTTCTCCTACATAAAGGTGGGGCTTGGTGATGTGGCTGTAGTGTAACATGATGTTGTAAAGCTTTTTTCATGATATATGATATGCAGATATTTATTTTCTGAGGTTTGGAAACAAATGAGAATTGGATAAATATTTCAGGAAAACAGCAGTGGCACAATACATTATTAATAAATTATAGTATAATAAATTATTAAGGTACGATAATGGCTTAATGCGCTCACGTCCAGACAGTTTACGCAGTTACTGTACATTGGTTGTTGTGTACAGTAAGTCAGATAACAGGTAGAAATCTGTCTGTTTATGATACATGCAGTTGTTATAGAAGTTGTGTCAATAATCATGAAAATTGTCTTGTGATATGTCATCATAATAACTGTATCATCATATTGCCCACCCCTACATACAAGAATGAGAGGTCTATAACTACTATAAGTCCTGATAAACTGCAAAACGAAGCACAGCTCACTCTCACACTCATTGTTTTCATCAGTGTAAAGTGCCAGTAATTAAAAGTTGGCCTTTCGGAACGACTTTGGCCGTAATCGTGACCATGTTTGTGAAGGAGGGCTCAGTACATGTCTGTGCTTCTTTAGAGATCCATTGCTTTGGTTTCCATCATTTCAAGGCTGAGCTACAGTCAGTGAATTAACTCTCAGCAGTGACCTTGCCATCTGGTTTAATAGAAAGCTATAAATTGAGGGTTGACTCTTTGACTTGAACATTTGATTTACCTAGGAGGGGTTGCATGTTGCAGATGGATGCTGTAGACTGAAAGGCTGGGTCATGCCGGTTTCTACTGTTTCATCTTGACTCTCTAAAATGTGAAGAGGCTTTGCGTCATTTTTGGATGTTTTAGCTGATATTTATGGACTGAATTGCCTGTGTTTGGTTGTATAGTGAGGATGATTTAAGTAGGCCTTTTTAGAACTCAGGTAAGAGAGGATATTGCATTGGAAATAAACTACATTGACTTTTTCCAGTGTTACATGTACCTGAAGGTTTTGTAAAACACATCTAAGTGTTCTGTTTTTTCATTTCAAAAGGAAAAATCATCATGGTGAGCTTTCGAAGTTTTTCTATTGGTGGGTGGATTTGCAATATTCAGTGTAAGTGAGAACATTTCCAGTTTTATTAATACATTTTACACAAATACTCATTTGAAATGAGTCATAGCATCCCAAATAGATAAAACCCCATAGTTGGGCTTTCCAAGCCATTGGAGTCCTACGATCACAATCTTAATGTGATTCTTCCAGTGCTTGGGTTTATGAAGTGTTATGGGATGTATGTTCTGTGTGGCTTACTGACTCATTAGAAATACACAGATTGAATGTTGGCTGTGACCTATGCTCTGAAATGTGTTCTGCCTAGCAACAATCCCTTGGGTTCTTTAACAGAAACTCTCAGATGCGTCATGTGGAAAGCACAGGCCATTGTGGCACGCTCAGGGCGGCTGGTTAAGGCGGGTTGTGGCCCAAAAAGGACGTTGGTAGTCTGATCAATCCAGCTTGATGTAGAAAACAGTAAGGGCCTTGGGTGAGTTGGCAAGCTTACGCAACAACGCATACCAGCAACAGCTCGGGGCAACTGGGGTGTCATCGCTCTAGTTTTGCCACACTGTACCCTCGGGGTTAAGCTGATTAGCTGGGGCTCTACCACTGTGTGAAAACCAGTGGGGGATGTGTAACAGTGCAACTACTTTGCTTCACAGCCTTCAGTGTTCTCAGAAGCAGTTCTGCCCTACTAACATAGCAGTACTGTACGCAGCAAATAGCAAGGCTTGACTGTTTCCCTCACATGTCCGTATTAGACTACAGTAGCTTTGCTGGAGGGCAGTTTTTGATTAGAATGCAGTGGCTGGCTTCAGTCGTCTATGGGAGGGTTTCAGGCTTGCCGATGTGTGTGGTGCATCCATCATAGAAACAAATGGAGCTGGACAGTTGCTGTTCGTGCAGTTTGGTGTGTTTTATTTGGTCTGTTTCGCTTAGAATCCAGAAGCGCTTACTCACTGAAGTCCAGCACGCCAACTTGGAAACGAATCTGAGGTCATCAAATGAAGTGATTTTCTGTAAAGGCCCGCAGTGAGAGGACTGGAGAAGAAAGGCATCCCTCAGCATCATTTGCAGTCAGCATGCACTGTGGAACGGAATGATTCTCAACCTGCTTTTTGGTCTAAGCATATACACATTACTTCAGACTTCCAAGATGGGCTATAGTTTCTTTTAAACTCTCATTCTGGAATGCATTAAGAGAAGCTGCTAATAAGGCTGCTTGTGCCACAGAGACAGTTAGTAGTGCAAAATGTTGCTGCAGTGGATTTAGATTTAAACCATGCACAGGATCGTATGGATCTGTAGAGCTGTTGAATTTATTTGAACTTTACTCTGTGCAGTACTTTATATTGTTTCAGAAACCATAAGTGAGTTGAGGGTTGTGTGTGTTGGAACAGTCAGTCTCCTTTGGTAAGAAAGAAGCAGCAATGGTCATTTGCTTTGATCTCACACACAAAGAAAGAGGTCAGTCTTCAGGAATGGGACAGTGTGCTGGGTGAATTCCAAGATTTCCACCATCAAAGACCACAGTCCACTTTTGCTTTGATCATCCTGTCAATGCAGTCACCTTTGGTCCTGGCTGAGCGGTCTTCATTTATTAAGCTGAACCTGGCAAGAGCTCATACTGAGCTAGAGACATAAGCCTTTCAATTATTTATGGAGTTGAGCAATGTTGAACTCCACCCATCCAACAAAAACACTAGAAATTAGGGTCATTTTCTATTTAAACAGAATAAGAGTGAAATGTCAGAACTGATCAAGTGTAATTTTAATTCTGTTAAATGTTTTATATTGGATCTGGCATTGTAATCAGACTTCGAGGGAAATTTTTGTCGTACATTTTAGAATATTTTTGCACATTTTGTAAATAAGTGGCTTGAGGCTTTGTGCTCCTTGCAGCGACATATAGCACCACACATGCTCTCTGTGAAGCCTGTTAACTTTCACTTGTGACCTTGCAGTAAAAAGCTCCCCTTTCTTTCCAACCTCAGTCCAAAACACACACCGGCTCCAGTGTAGCCTGGCTTAGAGGAGATAACCCAGAGGAAATGAGGAGCAGATTGCCTGGCAGTGCTTGGCTCTCTCTCTCATCCACCACCGGCCTGAAATGCAGCCAAATCAATGAGCAGCAGTCCTATCTGTAAGTGTACCTTCAACTCCGGGCATCCTTACAGCAGAGCCACCCAGTCTTATCAGGAGATTGCCTTAATGTATTCATGGGCTACAGACACAGTCTATGAGGCATGGCAGCCCCTGGTCATGTGTGTGCATTGATCTGACTAATTTTAATAGCAGGGGCAATCAACCAGGTGACACTAATGGCCCAAGACCTTGGCTTATTAACAGTCTTCACTATTTTATCCTGACTCCTACATTTTCCTCCCCTTCTGACATAAGCACTTATACACTTCAATTGCAAAACAGGTTAGGGACAGTATGTGAAATGCTAATAAAACCGAAAGCAGTCATTTTTAAACTGTGTTACCTATATTAAATATAAATTAGTGCAAAACATGATATTTGATGTTTATGTTATGAAATTGTTTTTTGGTCAGTATATGTTTATTCCAAATTTGATGCCTTCAACACGTTCCAAAAAGGTTGGGACATGAGCATGTTCACCACTGTGTTAAAGCACTGTTTGTTTTAACACTGAATAATCATTTGGGGACTGAAGACATCAGTTGATCCAGTTTTACAAAGCAGAATGTTTTGCCATTCTTCTGTAATGCAAGTCTTCAGCTGTGCAACCGTATAGGGCCTTCGTTGATGTATTTTGCACTTGTAGAATGTACCTGACAGCCTAGA